GATTCGTCTATTTGCCTGGTGCAGGGCAGCGCCACATGACCACAGGGAAATGCGCGGGGCGCCTGGCTACCAAAAATTCTTGTTGCATGGAAGGATTTGGGGTGTTGAGGTGGGGACGGCTGCATGTCAAACTGAATAAGCAGATACAGCGGATCAATTGGATCCAGAGTGAGGGGAAAGCCTGTTAGGGAAGGCGGTAGGAGGTGGGGCACTCTGCCTCTCCCCCGCCTGCATGGCCAAGACCTGCAACTGCACAAGCCGCGGCACTGGTACCCGTGGGTGCGGTAACCGAGGAGCACCTGCATGGCGAAGACCTGCATCTGGCAGCGAATGGTGGGGACTTTTCTAGGTTCACTGGGTTCATTGCGCTGCTGCGGCGCAGGTGGAACCGGGGGGTTGCTTTACATTAGCGTGGGCAATGGATTCCATGCTAACTTTTCCTGACACCAGATGCTAATTTAGCACCCCAACAGATTTTCCTAGCGCACGGGAGGCACAGGAAAAAGACATAAAAAATCGAAGAATTTTGACCCAATTGACCAAAGTGCTTGTTTCCAATACAACCACAATCACCATGGAGCAAGCAATGGAAAAGCTGGGCGCTGAGGTGCTCGACAGCACCCTCACAGCTGCCATGACTGATCCAGATGCCATGCGTCAATTCGCGAATGACATCTCTCCCCCGGCCGAGCCAGTGCAGGATTACCTCACAGAGGTGGACACACGACACGCCCTGTTTGACGAGTTTCATGTGATTTGCCAGCAGCACCACATCCCTCCCCATACGATGATATTGGCCATGTTTATGGTCACACCTGTCTCAGAGCCTGCTACGGATCATTTTCGGCCGTGACGAGCCACCAAGAGGGGGTGAAGGAGGGAATAGCACTAACGGTACAACATAACTTTCATTTAAAAATAAGAACAGAACTGTTAGCGATACAAGGACATTCATTGGAGGGGGCGATAGAGGTGACTTTTTCAATTCCCAGCAATGCCAGGACACCAAAACAGCCTGGTTGTATGAGACGAATCCGGGCACAAAATTTCCTTGCTCGTTCATAGTGCTGAGCTCGGGTGACAAGTTCGCACAATGACAGAATGTAGGTTTCGCCTCATCCCGAGTTACGTTCGGTTGTTTTTTCCATAATCTCATTCTCAACGCCCGTGAAAGCTATTGTAAACGGCACTAACACCCCTACCAAGAATACTGCCCACAAAGACCAAGTTGCCTCGCTGCCTCGCTGCCTCGACTCGGCAAAGTGCCTCCACTCCATCCCATCTTGCTCCATTCCATCGCATCTGCACAGCCCCTACTAACACAAAGCCCGAGAGCCTCGGGGATTTCCCGGCCAAAACCACCATGACCCGTACATCGGATGTAGCTCGTCAACAAAGCAATTCATTGATGGCGTACGTTCTGGAAGGGAACGGTGTGTATATGAAAAGACCAGTTCCCGGTCCTCATTCCAAGCGCTACAATAGCGAATCTTCTGCTGGATACCCGGTGCTAATAAGGCATCCAGACAAAAGGTAGCCAGTGCTTGGGGTGACTTTGTGAAGACGGAAATGTCCGCCAGCCAGCTGCACTGTAATTCGGGTCTGTCGGTGAATTCCTGAAGGGACCATCGGCGCATGTGAACAAACGGCCCGAGATGGAGCCTTTCATGTCGTTTATCGTAGTAGGAGCGGTAGAAGCCGCCATTGGGAACGACGTTGGAAGTCGTCCAAGAAAAGCCTTGGCGCATAACTTTCAAAAGGTCGTGGCACCAAACCCTGACCTCCACTGTCCATTCCGAATCGAGCACGGTGGGGGTGTCGCTCTCCCTGCTGGCTGGGTCGGGACCTAGGTAGACGCCGAATACATAATCTAGGGTATCATAGTTGCGGCCGTGCGAGGTTTGTACCTCCTGGGAGTCGGACTGTGCCGAGGGTGGTAGAGCGTTCGCAGCCATTTCGAGTCCAGATGGGTGGTTGTGAATGATGCAGATTGGGTAGTTGGGTAGTTGTGAATGACAGGAGAATGGGGGAGGAACCTGGGATGAGGGAGGATGCAGCGAGGGACCCGAGCTTTAAGGGCCGTCGTCTTCCATCAAGCTCTGACGCTAACTGGTAGGTTTTTCCTCAACGTACAAAACGTCTCCACCAAGCTCTGATGCTAATGAGTAGGTTTTTCCTCCACATACACAACATCTCAACCAAACTCTAATGCTGTCTGGTAGGTTTTTCCCCCACGAACGCAACGTCTTGATCAAGCTCTGATGCTAATGAGTAGGTTTTCCCTCAACGTACACAACGTCTCCATCAAGCTCTGATGCTAATGAGTAGGTTTTTCCTCCACATACACAACATCTCAACCAAACTCTAATGCTAACTGGTAGGTTTTTCCCCCACGTACACAACGTCTTGATCAAGCTCTGATGCCAATGAGTAGGTTTTTCCTCAACGTACACACAATGTGGACATTACAGACTCAAGTTCCGACTCACAAACTTGACACCTTGAGAAATCAACAAATCTTTTTTCTTTTTTTCTTTTCAACATTTAATCCACAATAATTTCTTGGATTCCAAGGTTCAGCTAAACTCCACCTCCAGGGATGACCCGGGGTTTGCCCACGACAGTTATCAGCCGCATCTCGACCAAACCGCCACCGCGCCATGTTGCAAGCCCAGACAGTGCTGTACTGATGGATTGCGAGGTGTTGAATCGAATGCCGGGATTAGATGGATGCTGCAGCAGGAGGGCGACGAGCACGCACTGCCGGGACCGCGCCGACCGCTGCCATCGCTGCCATCGCTGCCATCGCTGCCATCAGCCGTGATCCTGACCGAACCGCCACCACACCTTGATCTGCCATGGCAGCCAGCAGCCAGCAGCCGCCATCTTGACCAAACCGCCGCCGCACCCGTTGCAAGCCCAGGACAGAGCTATCCTGATGGATACTGACGTAGCTGATTCGAATGCTGGGATTGGATGGATGCTGTAGCAAGCGGACGACAAACGTGAGCTGCCGCTATGAACACTCCTACTGTCAGAAAGAAAGAGGTTCAAGCGACCTGGGCATCTAGTCAGCAGAGCTGACAGTGAGCTTGGTATTACTAGAGTGCTAGCGAGCCTGACAGCTACTGTGATGGCAATGGCTGAATCCTCCAGAAAGGTCTATAATGGAGTTTGCTAGAGAGCTAAAGAGAAACGGTACAATCATGTAATTGCAACCCCATTGATTCTATTAAATTCAGTGTATGGTATTTCTGATAATTTCTATAGTGGCATGGATAAAATATCATGTCGGCAGTACTGTCATGGCTATGGCAGAAGATGTTGAGACAATGCTTTAATTGGTCTATTATAGTTCTTAAATTATAAGCTAAAGAAGGGAAAGAAGTATAGGATAAAATATGTGTATGCTGTGTTGAAAACTAGTGTATATATGTGACACCGGCACCATACCTAGGTGAGAAGTAAGGTGTAGTAGGGGTGACAACGACAAGGTGTGTGATCGGCTGCAGGATTAGACTGCAGAGCTATAATGATGATCTATACAGTGTCTATACAGTGTCAGACGATCAAATCGTTGAGGGAGATGGAATGATCAAACAGGGGATAACATACGATGCCTTTGCAGTTGCAAGTCAATTGAAGAAGAGGGTGGTTGCTTGCCGCCGGTCGCATCCAAACCACCACAGAGCTCCTCACAGCAATCAGGGACAGGATCACTAAGAATAGGGTGCAAGAGCAAGTCAATAAGGTCACTATCTCAGAAGATATAATAAAGAATAGATAAACAAACAACACGGGTTCCACAAGGATAGAATTCCCCTCAGCTTCACTGATAAACTTGCTAAGGTTGGTTTCCAAAAAGGACTGCAGAGCTTCTTCCTCTTTTGAGGGTTCATTGCTTCTTTCATCTCTTTTATGGAAGGCTATGTACTAGATACAATGATACCCATGATCCGTCCTAACCACCTGTCGGTCCCGAAGTTCCCTAGCCGCCTGCCGCACACGCCCTATCAATCCACGGCTACATACCAAGTGAAGTCGGCCATCATACAACAAGTCTATGGCCTGTATTGGTACTTACTCCTAACAGCTCAAGTGGCTTGGCGTCCATCGCTGTGGAGGTTCACTCAAGTCCTTGGTACTTACACTGGCCACAGCGCTGCTAGGTTGGTCCCATGTTGGCTGTCGCAGCAGTGGTTCCCTTCATGACTCATTGCTGCCCAAGTAGGCCTGGCCGCGACCACCTGTCACCACTGAAACGGGAGTCCGGCGAATGTCGGCTCGAGGTCTTCCAACGAGATGACTGCGATATCAGGGAGGTCCCTGATAAGACCATTGTACGATCTGTCATGCAGCCTGGACCATGATGCTGAGGTTGTGTGGTTCGTCCATGACAAATCTGAAGTCTGATGACGAAGGTCAGCGCCGGATGATATACTATGTGGATAGCCCTTGCTTGTGTGTGGCCCTGGATCCTCCCGACGCAATCCGCCAAGATGCCGAAGGTCCTTGGTTCATCCATAGCAGATCTGAAGCCCGATGACGGTTGCCAATAGCCTGAAGGTTGGAGCCCCACTTCTCCTGGTCAGAAGTTGACCGGCTGATATGTGGGTCCATGGTGTGTGTGTGTGATTCCCGTGCCCATGGTCGACCCAGGTCAAGGAGGTGAATAACCCTGTTGACCTTAGGTGAGTCTGACCGGTGTGACATGGGATTACTCTAGCTTATGGAAGAATCAGGGAAAACTTCAGACAAATCAGCTACAGCTTATCCTAGCTTCCCTCAGCTCCGGACTACGAATGAAAAAGGAGATTTTATATGCCCAGATTCGTCTCAGATTACTAGGCTGTTATATTCAGTTCCTTTTCAACACGTGAAAACCATGCTCACGACGGCACTGTCTTCACGACGTCTCAGGCCTTTTGACTATTTCCAAGAAAAAGAGTGGCAGCCCTACTATATATATGTCGTCTAGTTTCCTTGTTTCAACAACAATTGCCCTTGTGGCGCAGTGGTAGCGCGCTCTGCTCTTTCATCATGATGCCAATACGTCATTCCAGGGGCAGTGTCAGAGAGGTCGCAGGTTCAATTCCTGCCATGGGCTTTCAACGTCTTGATCCCTTGTGGTTCAAGATGTTGATATCTTTTTGCTGCTTCTTTTTCCTAGTTTTTGATTTGACTCTATGCTCAATGTGAAAACCATGCTCACGACGGCACTGTCTTTCCTTCGCTAGCTAAGGAACCATGCCGCTGAGACGGCAGCAAGGCAACTCTGCTTCGACTTTGGTGAACTTTGTCGCCGTTGCGTTGCGTGCCGTCCGGGGGCCTCCAACGTTGTCCGCTAGGAGGAGCACGAGGGGAGCTACAACCGTGCGTTTGTGCTCCATCTCGACGATGGCTCGACACTGCTTGCGCGCGTGCCCTTTTCTGCAGCGGGGCCACCGCGCCTTGTCACCAATTCCGAAGTGGCCACCATGGCCTACCGTACATTCGCCGAGTCCCCTTGCTCCCGCGTTTTGCTAACCTGATGTTGAATTCATTCAATTCGGAAAATGACATGTATTCCTATACCCGAGATACTCGATTGGAGTGACGATCCTCTGAATCCGCTAAAGCCGGAATACATGCAACATGTCGAGGGCGTGCAGCTCCGCGATCGATGGGACACCATGAGTCCTCAAGAGCATCTACTCTGCGTCCAGTCTCTTGCCCTGCTAGCCATGCAACGCATACAACCCACATAACATCATGGCCGCTGTTCACACATCATGCAACATACATAACACCATGCAACATAATACCATACAATACACACAAACCACACAACGCAACACCATGCAACGCCGCAACACCATGGAAATCGTCATGTCAGAGCATCATGGCCACTGTTCACGCAACATCATGCAACGCCGCAACACCATACAATGCAGCATCATGCAACGCACGCAGCAATACGCAAAACCTTCAGACCAATTGGGACCGCCCCGAACGCACTAAGTCTACCTCTCTCTCGGACATGAATTGGCCATACTGACAAAGGAAAAACCGCGCAACACCCGCAACACCCGCAATACCCGCAACAAATGTTCCATATAAGCCTACAAGACATTATTCCTCCGGGTTTCCTGCCGTTTCACTTGTCTGTGGGGATTTGAAAAGGGTTGCAGACGCCTGCCGGGTAATACGGCTGACTTTCTCACCGCCCTTCTTGGCAATCGAGGCTGTTCCCCTGATTGACTTCCCCCACTGTTCCACCTTGGCCGATGCAAGGCTTAACCTCGACGCCTTTTTCCCGAGGTCTTGAACCTCCCTGCTCTCTTCGTCCGTGGCCATGATACCGCTAGGCAGGGCCTTCTTGCAACCGGCACACAAGTCAGACTGTGCCTTGGGAGTGGCTGCAGTAATCCTGCCAAGATTGTCGGCAGCAGCTGGACCCGCAACCTTGCCGCCAGAGTGATCACCAGGTCTTGCACCCTATTCCCTAGTGTCTTCATCTCCAGCGTCTTTGCGGTCGACCCCTTTTGCCTTGCCCCGGTCGACCACCTCAGCCTTGCCACGGTCGACCACCTCAGCCTCGTCCTGATCGACCTCAGCCTTGCCCTTGGCCTTCTCATATTCGGCCAGGATGGCACGCTGCTTAGCGGCCACGGCTTCATCATAGCCACGCTCGTCCGGGTCTTCGAAGTCGTAATATTCGTCCATGACATCAGCTGCGCCAGAGAGGGCTGCCACCCGCAGGAGATCCCACTGCATCTCCAGCAGCTCCCAGCTGGGCATATGCTCATGGCGTGGGAAAAGGAAAGTCTGTCCGGTCTGGATCCGCACTCCGCTCTCCCGGTGTGCCAGGGTATCGCCCCAGCGCCGATCCATGACCCCGGCCTGGTGAAGGATGTCATTGTCTGGGCGGATATACACATCTGGCTTCAAGATGCTTCTCTTTAGCCAATGCCACTGGACGACAATTCCTTGGGGGGTTTCTCGGAGAGGCTTCAGGGCAAGCCTTGCATTATCAAACCAGAAGTGGATCTGGTGGTTCATCGAAATGCCATTCTTGGCGGACTGTGTGATACCTGCTGCCTCAAAATGCCGACGCCAAGCCATGGCCTTTTCAGAACCCCAAAATGCCGTGAGAAGCTCGTTCAGGTATTTGAAATTCTTCTTCTCACTTGTTGAGAAGGGGAAAATGTGTGCTGCCTCAGGATCCGGCATGCCAGAAAACACACAAGTATGTCCATCTCGGTCCTTAACCTGCACCTCTATTAGCCATTTTCAGAGAGAAAATGTAGTAGAAACATACTTGATCTGCAAACCCGCTTCTTGTTACTGAGCTGGAAGGGATAGGCATTCCCGGTTCGTTGAGAATTGCCGAATGGATGGCTGCAGGTGGATAATCTGGCGCATTGGCAGAACGACGTCTGGAAATATCTGTGTCGGTTAGAGGTCAAGTCGGATGACTAGGCAACAACTGGGGAGAAGTCAGATGACTAGAAAGAGTAACATACAGGTTCTGATTGCATGTGGCGCATACATCAGAATGCTATGTACTATGTTGAAGCGGTGCTGCTTCAAGTTGTGGATGACTTTGAGCTGGGTGCGAATCTCTGAGATGGGTGCGACCATAAACACGGCCAATATCATTGCATTGGGAGTGAAGTCGTGCTGCTGGCAAATCACATGAAACTCGTCAAACAAGGCACGTCGCGTGTCTACCTCAGTGAGGTAATCCTGTACTGCCTCGGCTTCGGGAGGCATGTCGTTCACGAAGCGATGCATGGCATCGGGATCCGCCAAAGCAACTGTGTGGATCCTGTCAAGGAACTCAGCGCCTAGCTGCGCCACCAATTGCTCCATAGTGATTGTGATGAAGTCGCGATTTGGATTTTGGTCTAGAGATCAACATGATGTCTCAATTTGGCAGTGGAGGATGTGGGGGGGAAGATGGAAAGGGAAAAATTGAGTTGTGAGGGAGATTAGAAATTGGCCGGAAGAGCAAAATTTGGCAGTGGATGTGGGGTGAAGAGGAAAAATTCGGGTAGTGAAGAAAGGTTGTGGAAGGGGAAAAAGTTGAATTGCGGGGGAGATTGGGAATTGGCTGTGAGGAGCAAAATTTGGGCCTCGTTTTACATGCGCCCACCCTCCCTTGCGCGCCCTGGTCATTGCATGTGCCATCCTTGCACGTGCCATCCTTGCACGTGCCATCCTTGCACGTGCCATCCTTGCACGTGCCATCCTTGCACGCCTATCCCTGCATATGCCCATCGTCCTTGCATGGAGTCGCCATAATTTTCTGCCCCATTCAGCGTGCCAACAGCGGCAATCTCTGATCTGTGCCGTCCTTGCATGCCCATATTCCTTGCGTGCAGTCGCCATAATTTTTGCCCCATTCAGCGTGCCAAAGCGGCAATCTCCCTTGCGTGCCATCGTCCTTGCGTGTGACCACTCGTCCTTGCATGGGCCCATGCCACTTGTTGCCGACTGTCCTGGGTGTGCACCTCGCCCTTGAGCACACCACGCAACGTACGCAATACCTTGCAATGTACTTTTCAACGGAAATCGTCATCTCTGAGCATCCTGGCTGTTCACACATCATACAACGCACACAACAGCTAGTTATCTGTGACGAATCTGGGCACACGAAATTTCCTTTTTCGTTCGCAATCCTGAGCTGGGGTGAGCTGGGGTGAGCCGTGGCTGATTTGTCCTGAGCTCTCCCTGATTCTCCCCTGAGCCGGGGTGATCCGGTACACCGCCGCCGCACAGCCTTAGAGACCCCTTTTCAGTCCCCCCGGCTAAGCTTTCCCATCGATGGAAAGCAGACGACGCGTAATCTATAAGGATAGCTCCCAGGCAACAATTCCAATCACGTTGTACACGTGTACTGGATGTACGTGTGACTCAGGCCAGAAGCCCTATTTCCAAAGCTGAGCAACCTATACCCTGCCGAAAATCCCAAAGCAGACCAAAGCAACCAATCAAATCAACTTCAATCTATTCTATTACTATGCTATGCCAGAGAAGGATGCGGTACGGATGGAGTCGCTGACGACTACAGCAACGTCACCTGTCTGTGCTTATATCAGGCTGACAAGTCATTATCTACCATGGATATATAGGCTGTCTTGTTAGATTTTCCTAATAGAAGGATGCTAGAGAGTTTAGTGACGTTGGCGAGTAAAATTCTCATCTTTATAGGATAGAGTTCCCGACCTCGTCGCACTCAGGTGAGGATAGCTCTCCTAGGTACAAAAAAATTCAGAAGAATCAAAAGGAAGCGGAGCGGGACAGCGGCAACGTGACTTGTCTGGCTGTTAAGTCGCTGACAGGCCCCTATCTAGGTACGTCGTTTCTGCCGGCAGAAAAACAGCACCCAACGCTCGCCACGCTTATTCAGCAACCGGAAGTTAAGTACCTTTTCTGCCGGCAGAAAGAGCTTCCATATTCTGCCACCAAACACTACGCCCCGTTTCTGCTGGCAAGACCCAGTTCTCGGCCCCATGCCAGTTTTGGTATCGCAGCCAGCAGACAACTTACGTTTTCTGCCGGCAGAAATTTACCGCGGCCCATTTCTCGACCACAAGCCCATATTCAGTCCCCGTTACCGACGTTACGTATCTTTTCTACAAAAGGTTGCCACAACTAAATATGAGGTCCCAAAATTGGGCTAACGGGAACACAAGGTCCCCAATCTGGATACAGTCGCTAGCGAAATCGGCTTCCGCATTTCTCTCTTACATACTTCTAGCGCACGGACCGTTTATGCATCTAACCATCGACACCGTGTGTCCTCGCACGCGCTTGTGTACCAAGCAGGATGTTCATATACGGTGCAACGACGCAGTACTGTATTACGATGAATGTCAGCCAACCTGGACTGTCATCCGGCTGGACTGCCAGCCAGAAATGGCTGCGGCAAGAAATGGCTGCCATTACGATGACCGTGATTAAAGAATAAGCCGAATCCGGCTCCATTGCAATTCCATCAACGGCTAATACATATGAGAGGGCATAGCTGGTTGCTTGATAAAGTGTTGGATGGCGATGGTTTCCGTTACTGCTGCTCGACTGCTCGCCTGCCTGTCAGTTCGCCTGCCGTCGACGCATTTCGGACGATGCGGGTACGGTCTCCGTATCGCTGTTTGTTAGGGCGCTTAGAGGTAGGGTATCCTGGCAAGCCTAGATCCAGCCGCCATACAAGGGCGCTGTTGCTATTCCATCTTTAGCGCCTGAATCAGGGCAAAATCTCTATTGGTCAATTTAGCCGCCCAGACCATTCTGTTTTAACGCGCCGCCTGTAGTCATGTGATCGTATTAACTCATTCAGCCAAGGTAAGGGCTTTCGCTCCAACGCAGTAGTACCTAGTGTCTTGCAGCATCCCCTAGCGTACTCTCTGCGAGAACGATCTGTACAACATTCCGTAGCATGGCGCCTAATCTTTCGCTCTCTTAACATTATCAGATCTGAGACATGATCCTGAATAATTGTCATGGCACCAATGTGCAGTGCCTCTATCTAGAGACATTACGGTCCAATAGCTCAATTGGACAACGTTCCACTTTTACCAGTTGTGCAGCGGTATTGCGTTGTCTCTTCGTACCGTCGCAGACGGGGGGCTCTTAGACGAGACAGTCGGTTGGAGTGCCGGTGGTATAATCGGCAAGCGAATCGGGAGGCTCGGAGGATGGCCAAATAACGAAGTCGTTAAACGTGAAAGAGTTCGGATGTGTTATGGCTGCTCAAATGTTCGCTCGGAAATCGGTAGGACGTAAGGAACCTAATGCTCTGTGAAATACTGTGAACTATTGTTCACATTCGCATGGCGGCTGGAGTGGGCTTACCTTGTAGGATTATACGACGTTGCCTGTCGCTGGTGCCAGGACGAGTGCTGGTGGAAAGATCGCGGATTGATCGCGGATTGCGACAAGCCGGTGGGTCTTGCAGTTTGTCGGAAAGTTCAGCGTCTCTACGGGCACGTGACTAGCCCGTCGCTGCTAAATTTAGCTATGTACCAGCCCTTTGTGCGCGCTCCGACTTTCGGGGCACCACACGATCGCGGGATCCAATCTGACGGCCCAGCACGGTTCCTCGGCGGAATGTAGTGGCTCATCCCCCGAAGTCTTGTGAACGATTGCACTCTTGCCGTCGGAGAAGTGATGGTTCATTGACAATGAAAAGGTTAAAGCGAACCTCGCGAGGGGCCAAACGCAATTGGGTCGAGACTGTTGCGTCGCGCGGCGGTTGGGCGGCTCGGGAAATTGTAATAATGGCAATTCTTTCGTTCCCACCGGCGCGCCGGGTTTCTGGATCGCCGTGCTCAAAGGGACAGCATGTGTCTACGATGCTTCGTCAATTTACCGTTCATCGCACCGCTAGCCGACAAGTTGTAATAAAAAAGCGCGCAGCAACATGTGGCGTCTAAAACGATTGGCTATGGCTGAGTAGTCGGGCACCGACGCTTCAGCCTAAAAGAATGGCTGGCAATATTCAGCTCGCCTTACCCCGCCTTCCTGTCTCTCACGACTTCGCAATCCTTTACGCGATCAAGTACCAGCGTAATATCGGCTATCCGTCCCCTTTTTAACTGGTTCGACAGTGCAATAGAGGCGATGGACAGAATCCTACCATGTGTTACAACCTGTGCACTAGGTACCTAAGTACCAGGTGTTGAACAACAGATCGTAGAGCCGCACGCTCTAGGGTTGGGGTTTGTGGGGAAGGTTAACTCTCGAAGGCAAGTATCTCAAGAAGGGGGTTCACACTCTGTTGAACAGATTGCTGTCACTAAAGACTTGTAAAGTGATGGGACACAATAGAATGTAATTGCTTGTGTGAGGAACAGGAATCCTCATGCACCATGGTGCGGTGCATGATGGTTATTTATACTGACTAGCTAATAGCGGGGGACAAAGTAACTTGTATCCTTTTTTGGTGAGCGTAAAATGATCTGTACGATCTGTTTGAAGATTGAACAGATCAAGGACTGAGTATACTGATCTGTGTGATCTGTTTGAAGTTTGCATAGATCATTGTAAATCACTAGACTGGTCATGTGGCTCCACTTCCCAAGTGGGATGTCACACACGGTCCTCCCTCCCTAGATCTTCTGCCCTGAAGATCTGCCGCGGCTCCACCATAAGAACATGCTTACCCTGCTGTCTGAAATTACTGTTCAACCCATTCCTGTTTCCTTCTTTATAATGGGTCGCAAATGAAAAGATCCTCCTTCTGATCCTGAACTTAGTACCGCATGTCGTCTTTGTTCTGTTAATAACTCTTTCTTGTTTGGTTCTCTGATGCCTTCATGTACCCGTTGCAATGATAAGAACCTTGAATGTAAGGTCACCAGTAGGCTTTGACGCTGTGGTCCTTGTGCTTCGTCGAACGCCCCCTCCTGTGATGTCATGGGTCTGAGTCAATCGGTCTTTGATTCTCTGATCAATCAAAAGAACAGACTTGATGAGGCTAAAGAGAAGGCTCTGTTAGATAGCATGGAAGCTCAATCAAGGCTTCTCTGGCTATGCAAGCAGTGCCATGCCCTAGAGGAAAGGGCTTGTAAGGCATTTGCTTAGGAGTCCCGTGACATCGTGGAACTTGAGGTGCTGGAGCAAGTGTCTGTTCCTGTCCTGGACTTCTCTTTGGGTTCTTGGCTTGATCCTGAACTTTTGGATGACATGGGTCCTATTGCTGGTTCCTCCTCTGACCTTGGGTAAATACCCTTTCTTTCCTGATAGTATAAGGAAAAAATAAGGAGATAAGGAAAAATGGAGATTTATGTACTAATGCCTTGTGTCTAGGCATGTTGGGTCTTCATAGGTCGTCGTAACCCGGGCCGTTTTCAACAATTTTGTCCCTGTGGCGCAGTGGCAGTGTGCTTTGCTCTTGTGGATGGGGCAACTTGTGCATGTCCTATGTGATAAGTTGTCTTATCTAGTGTTGGAGAGGTTGGGGGTTCAATTCCTCTTGGGGGTGCTTTTCTTTTTTGGTTTGTCGGGATTTAGGTGATGGAAATCCTTGACTAGTCCTGGACACTGAAGTCCCATGTGTGGTTCCTAGGAATTGTCTGTAGGTCTGTAGCCAAGCCACTTGACTAGGTACTGTAATACTCTTTTCTTGAATTGTGAATCCAAGAGTTCCTTTACCTTGAATTTTTCTTTATCTACTTTTACTTCCAGTCTTTTCTCTAGTAGGATATTCTTTGGTGCTGGCTCTAGTAGTGATATGTGGAAGACTCTGGTTCTGACCCTTATGGTCTTTGGCAGGTCTAGTTTGTAGTTTGTTGTTGTTACTTTCTTTTTGATCTGGAATGGCCTATACCTTTTAAAGTTAAGCTTCCTGCTTGGTTGTTTTGTCTTTAAATTTCTGGAAAACAGGTAGATGTGGTCTCTCTCTTCTAGAGTTGGTCCCTTAACTTTATGTTTGTTGTAGTAGTGCTTCATCCTTTTGCGTGTATGTTTAAGTTCTTTCTTTAGTAGTTTTATGAGTTCTTGGATTCTATCTGCTCTGACCCCTGCTCTTGGTGTTTTATAGGGTGGTCCCCTCCTGAGTTTGGGTTCTTGGCTAAACATTGTGAAGTATGGTGATACTTTTATGGATTTTACCATTGTTGTGTTGTAGGCTAGTTGTGCTGTTGGTAGTAGCTCTAGCTAGTTGTCTTGCTTGAAGTTGATGTAGGCTCTTAGGTATGTCTTGAGGGTTTGGTTAAGTTGCTCTGTCTATCCATCTGTTTGTAGGTGGTGGGCAGTTGAGAGTTTGCTCTTGACTCCTATTCTTGTCATTAATCCTTACCAGAAGGTAAAGACAATCAGTTTGTCTCTATCTATTACTATGTTGTTGGGCCAAAGGTGTACTATAATATAGTTTCTTTTAAAAAGGTATATGAGTTGTTCTACCTTTATGTCTTTTCTTGCTAGTAGGAAGTAGGCCCACTTTATAAGTCTGTCCATTATGACCCAGATCTGGTTATACTTAATACCTATTACTAGGTCTTTCAAGTCAGGTATCCCTAATACCCAGTCCATCAAAATGGAACTCTACTTTTATTCTGGGACTGGTAGGGGTTCTAGTAGGCCATACTGTATATGTTTTTGATTCTTTGTTTTATTGTAGATATTATAGTTATATATTACTTTTTCTACTACTCCCTTTACCTTTAGGAAATTATAGCTGTTTTATAGTTGGTCTAGTATCTTGGTGATTCCTATGTGTCCTCCTATATATGCTTTGTATATCTTATGAATATACTCTTCCTATCTCTTTGGTTTAACATAGGCTCTTCCATAGTACTAAAGTGGTAAGTTATTCTCTATTCCCCCTTCTACCTCTAATAGGAGTTCTTTATTACTAAGTATGCCTCTCTTATATTAGAAGTTGTTGTTTTATTACTCTACCTGGTAGTTGGTATAATATTCTAAGAATGTTTGTGGTACCTTTCTAAGGGTTCTGTCTTCTAATTCTTAAAGGATAGGTAGAGTCTTGGGTTCCTCTTCTATTTTATGGTTAATCCTTCTACTTAGGGCATCTGCTCTTCTATTTTCCTTTCCTTTGATGTGGTATATCTTGAAGTTGAACTATATGAGAAACTTGGCCTACTAGGTTTGTCTTCCATTGAGTTTCTTGGTTACCTATGTCCTTAGGTTTAGGTGGTCTATAAGGATGTTAAAGGGTTCTTTTATATTACTTAGGTATGGTACCCATTCCTCTAGGCATTAAATGATGGCCATTAGTTTTTTGTCTCCTATATTATAGTTTACTACTATTCTATATAGTCCTTTTGAGAGGAAGGCTACTAGGTATAGTTTTCTATTGTCTCTATACTGGCTTAATACTCCTCTTGACATATAGTTAGAAGAGTCTATCTTGATGATATATTTTTTCTATGAGTTAGGCAGAGCATAGACAGGGGCTTGAGTAAATGCTTTCTTTAGACTTTTAAAGGCTTATTACTATTCCTCTTTCTACTTAAAAACCTTCCCCATGCCTATTAATATGTTCATGGGTTTTATGATGTCTCTGAAGTATTATATAAATCCATGGTAGAAATTAATAAAACCTATAAAGGCTTATATATCTTTCTGGGTTTTTGGTACCGGCTAGTCTTGAATTGTATCTAATTTTGATGGTTCCATTATGATCTATCCTGGGGTTATTCTAAACCCTAGGTATGATAACTCTTGAATATAGAACTGGCTTTTTTTAGGGTATACTGAAAAATCCACTTTTTCCAGGGCTTATAGTACCATATGTATATGCTTTTGGTGTTCCTTTAATGTTTCTGAATATATTAAGATGTTATCTAAGTATATAAACATAAAGCTTAGGAGGTGATGTAGTGTATTGTTTACTTTCTCTTGAAAGGTACCTGGTGTATTTATGAGTCTAAAGGGTATCATTTTGTACTGGTAATGACCATGATATGCTCTGAAAGCTGTTTTGTACTTGTCTCCTTTCTTGATGTGAATGTGATTGTAACCTATTGGGAAGTTAAGTGTGGTAAACCAATTTCCTTTGGCTATTTGTTCTCTTATTTCTGGTATCAAGGGTAATGGGTATTGATTCTTGATGGTATTTTCATTAAGGGTTTGATAGTCCACTACCATTTGTAAATCTATGGTTCCTTTTTTAGGTATAAATAGGACTGGGTATCCTGCTTTAGATTGTGATGGTTTGATGAATCTTGTGGCTAGTTGTTCCTTGATGTACTCTTTTAGTGCCTTATCCTATTGTGGATTTAGGTGGTATATTAGGAAGAACCTTAGTTTGGCTTCTTCCTTTAACTTAATCTTGTAATTATAGGGGCTATGTTTAGGTAGTTTGGTTAACTTCTTCCTGAATAGTAAGTATTATAGATACTCCTTTAGTACCTTTGATAGATCTCCTAGATCTTTACTAGGTCTAGGTGGCAAGGACTCTTTGTCTAGGTCCTTTATTATTATGATCTGAATCCATAGTCATGTGTCTTTATAGATATCTTTTTTAGGGGTTTCCTTCTCTTAGGTGTCCTGCTCTCTGTTTTATAGGGACATAGTTCCTTTTTTCTAATTAATATTGGGATTGTATTTCAACAACCAGGGTTTTCCTAGTATTATGGAACACTTACTACCTATTGGTAGTAGTTAGAAGATTGTCTCTTAGCAGTCATTGTCTACTATGATTAAGAGTTTTGACCACTGTTTTACCAATCCTCCCTTATAAAAAGCCTTCTTGCCCTTATATATCCTGATTATTACTGGCTTTTTATATAACTGGTAGGGTAGTCAGTAGAGGTTGATAATTGTGGGGTTGATCATGTTAACATCACTCCCTAAGTCGATTAATATGTTGATAGGTTCTTTTATTCCTGGTAGAAGGATGGGAATGGTAAAGTCCTTCCTAGCATTTCCTATTCTCAGGGCTCTAACTACCTATTCTTTTAAAGGACTTATTAATCCTAACCTAAAGGGCCTCTTCCTCCTTCTCTGGTCTTTGATCAGCCACTTTAGTGGTCTTACTTACTCTTACTTAAAGAGCTTCTTCCTTTTCCTATATGTTCTCTACTTAAGATTATAGGTTTGAAGGTAATGTATTAAAGTAGGAACTTTACTCTGTTTACTTCCTTATAGGTATCCCTTTTTAGTTTTTAGTCTTTAGTTCTTAGCTAGAAAGGCTGGATGGTGCTTAATTCCTTCTATGTTATATTATTGACATTTGTGATCCTAATAGGGTTCCTTGTTTGAATAACTTAGGTATGTCATTTCTTTCTTTCCTCTAGTTCCTTTTTCTTAAAGTACTAGGTCCTCTTAGGTGTGTGGAACTGGTAGAATATATGTATATAGTCTTCTATGTTATGGTAGTTCTAGTATGCTTCTGGTGTGTTCTGAAACAGGTAGATATACTCTGGTTTATTGTTTTCCTTGGTTAAGAAGTAGACTTTATACTTAGTATATGGTACTGCTTGTACCAGAACTGACCTGTCTTTCTTCTAAGGTGCTAGGTAGTGTCTATGGAGTAACTTTAGGGTAGTGTGCTTGTTGTCTATATAGTTATTAAAGAAATAGTTAAGCCATAGTACTAGGTAGTGTTCTAGGTATTCTAGATCTATTACTAGGAAGCTTGTGGTTTTTACTAAGGGGAATTGTCTATTGGTGGTTTCCCATAGGTATTGATGGACCTGTCAGAGGGATTCCTACTTGTGGGCTTCTAACTAGTTCCTTGGTTAAGTGTTTTCTGTCATCTACTATCAAGCTAGTAGCCTTACCCTTTCTAAGGTTTCTGGTTCTTCTTTAATTTTCTGAAGTGGGCTATTGGTTAGGTCAAAGCTTATTACTTTAGTGTAAAGTTCTGTTATATGGGACCTGTTTAGGGTAGGGAGTTGTGTAGGGTTATTGCTATAGGCTCTCTTGCTTATTTTGTCTACAATTGTCTTGAGTTGGCTTGTCTAGTTAATAAGTTATAAGAGTCTCTCCTGGTCTTCTTTTGGGAAGTACTCTTTGAAAGTGCTTTGAAGTCCCTAGAGTCCTGGTACCTGAAGCTCTGGTACTGAATCATGTGCTGATTCCTTATTACTTTTTCTTGCTGATTCTTCTTTTAACATCTAATGGGCCATGGCTTCTCTATCTATTGGTTCCTCCTCTAACTTGGGTTCCCTGTTGTCATCTGACTCCTCACTGACTTTCATAGTGTTAAAGGCTTCCTACTGGGTGACCACATTGAATATAGGTCTTCTTGTAGGGTGGTTTCTCTTGAGGGGGGCTTCCTGGGGTAAGACCTTTGGGAGTTTGCTGATTGTACTTCCCTTGTCTATTGCCCTTTGAACTGTAACTGGGGCTGTCTCTTCGCTGGGATTCTGAGTGTCATGTTTGTCCTACATTTTCTTGCTGTGAGTTTGTTTATCACTGCTTTTGGCGTCTTTATAATGTTTGTCCATTTCTGGGTCGTCATATTCCTCTGAGTTGACTATGTGAACCATTAGGTCTATACTGGTTCCTGTAATT